TCTTTATGTTAATTGTTATTGAGATATGTATTTTTTCAGAAAGTGTTGATCTATAGAACGTACAGTGAATTTCTAAAACTTGGTGAGACACCAACAAGAATCAGCGTAGGTAAATTCACCGAGGTTAAAAGCTAGAATTTTTAATAAAGATATGAAAATGTAATGTTTTTAATGGTGTAGAGAAATCCCCATGGTAGCACTGTGAACCATTTCACACCTAATGACTAAAATGAAATTTTCTATTACCAAATTGTAGAGAAACAATATAGTCAGACACTTCTAATAAGAAGAAAAATTGACATGCTTCTTGAGATTTTGACTTAACGATGCCTTGTCATTTTAAAGTTGCACATACAAAAGTTGTAGCAATCTCAGTTGTAGAATTAGTCTAGGGCAGTGATAAGCATACGGTAGTCCATTGGCCAGATTCTGCCAGCTGCAGGATTTTGTGAACAAAGTTTTACTGGAACGCAGCCACGCTCACTCATTTATGCAGATGATGATTGATTTCATGCCAGTAGCTGAGCTGCGTAGTTGTGGCACTAACCATATGGCCTACAAATTCAAGAATGTTTATTAACTAGCCCTTTGTGAAAAATTGTTTTGCCCTCTGGTCTAGAGTAACTCATACGTTTGGGTGATAAGTGTTGAGCAAGACTTCTCTTAGTAATATTTCTTGTGACAATGAAAAATTGGAAATACAAAAAATAGTCGAGGATGAGGAAAAAAGATTATAATGTGAAATAGTCTTCCAATATAAAGTAGTGAAAATGAATCAACTTACCAGATCATATTGCTGTGAATAAATCTCAATAAACTCACTAAAAAAATCAAGTGTCCGAGAAATAAGCACTGTCTGAGAACTTTTATATTAAAAGTTCATGTGACACACATATACTCTGGTTTCTCTTCAGATTGTATAAATCTTTTACCTCTTAAAATGTGACACACAGCACGTGTATTTCAGAGTAAATGTGTAAGTACATGTATGGAGGGGAGTGATAAACATCAAATGCAAGGTGACTATTTCCCCAAGGAGTAGGGAACCGTGATTGAGAATTTATAAACCAACGAGGGAGGGCTTTCCCTATATTTGTGATGACATTTCTGCTAGGTGATAGGTTTAAGATGTTTTTAAATATTCTTTATACACATCTGTCCTATAGTAAAGTAAAACACAAAAGAAAACCATGGTCCCTTCCTTGGAGATCTGTAAGCTAGTTGGGAGGTAGAGAAGCAAACATATTATCACAATATATGATCTTGCAGGAGTAGAGAGCTTTATACAAAGAGGACTGACTACAGGGGACCCGGGCAGCTAACTCTGAGGAATGGCAGGGAGTGGGGATTGATAAAGTTGCTTAGAGCATGGCATGAGTTTGCAGGTAGGAGCAGGGGAAAAAAGACATAGACCATGTTGGGGAGATGGGCAGGACGCGTCTGGGGTGCTGTGAGCACTCAAAGACAAAAAGTGCTTCTGGAAACAATTTGTAAAAGAGACCACCTGGACCTTTCTGTTGTCAACTTTAAGCATCTCCTCCGCACTAGGGCTCTACGAAATGATAGCCATAGCGATAGCTTCTGAAACACATAATACGCAATCTCATTTTATAATGAGATGGGAAACAGAATTTGGAGTGTTATAAAAAGTTGCAAGATGCACTCAGTTTGCTTGGAAAAGTTAATATCATATGTATTCATGTTGGGTTGAGATGTGAGGGGCCTCAATTATACTTGCACAAAAACTTACCTTAGTGCAAAGACTACTCATCTCTTCATTCAGCTTTTTTTTTTTTTTTTTGAGTTCCATTTAGGTAAAATTAAGCATCAAAAAATATATAGGACTCCACCACAAAGAATGAGGTTGGTTACATTATGGAAGTTTTTCCAAATGATTATCATCCCAGAGACACTGTTCATTTCCTATTCATAACCCATTGTCTGTGGTTGACATTTGTTATTATCATAATTGATTTAATTTTTGAGGGATTATTGGGAATCATTTACTTGATTCATGTTTGTACAAATGATTTGCCATTTCATAAGTATGTTTTAATCTGTACGTTTTTACAAATGCAATTTTAGTTTAGAGAAATTGCCAATTACTTCAGCATTTATTTTCAAAGTATAATGAGTAAGGTTTCATGCTCAGAGGATGGTTTCTGAAAGTCCAGTCTCAGGTGTGTGATTAAACATTTTAATTGTTTATAATGTAAGTGTTTAAACAGATGACACTGACAAAAGTTTTCACACTTAATAGATTGTAAACATTAATCACGGTGGTGAATTGTGTATCTCATGTAAAATGTACACATTCTCTTAAGAATGATAGACATAACAAAAGATGAGAGCTAGGAAGATAGATGAAAGAGAGAGAGAGGACGTGAGCTTCAGCGAGGTTACGTTTGGGGGAATAATCAGAAATTGATCACTTGCTAATCTGTATAAATATTTTAAGGTACATTTTTCAAAATAAGATACAGATAACCATGAGAAATGTGAAAAATTCTCAACGTTGTTAATCGTTACATACATGCGAATTAAAACCACATATTGTCTTTTATCAGTCCGAATGGTTATTATTAAAAAGTTCAAAAAATCCAAAACAAAACAACACATGTTGGAGAGGAGGTGAGAAAAGGGAATGTCTGTCCACTGTTCGTGGTAATGAAAATTGGTACAACCTCTGTTGAAGAAGAGTATGAGGATTTCTCAAATAACTAAAAATGGAACTACCATTCAATCCAGCAATCCCACTACTGGGTATACCTAAAAAAAAATCATTATATGAAAAAATACTGGTACCTTTATGTGTATCAAAGCATTGTTCCTAGTGGCAAAAAGATGGAAATGTCCATCAAAGGATGTTACCTAAATGTCCATCAAAGAATGATTAGGTAAAGAAAAAGTGATATTACTTGTATATCTGTAACTAACACACACAAGGAAATACTGTTCAGTCATGAAAAGGAACCAACAATAATGTCTTTTGCCGTAAAATAAATGGGATTGGGGGTCATTATCTTAAATGAAACAACTCAGACAGAGAAAGTCAAATCCCATGTTTCCCCTTGTAAGTGGGAGCTAATGACGTGTCCCTATATGGACGCAGAGTTGGAGCAGGAGTCATTGCAGTGTGGGAGTGGGGACGAGGGGAGGCCGGGAAATTACTGAATGAGTACGATGTACACTGCTCGGATGATGGTGACTCTAAGATCGCAGAATTCAAGACAACACAGTAGCCATGTAACAAAACTGCACTTGGACCCTTTAAATTTACACAAGTGATTTTAAAAATATATTTTGACATAAGGGAGATGATTTGCAAAAACTTAGTTGTAACACAAGTACTTTATAAGTTATTAGAATGCTTTGTCCATTTTTTCTTTTTTCCTTTTTCTTTTCTTTTTTTCCCCCCTTTTTTATTGGTTGGGATTCATGGAGGGTGCAGAGAATTAAGTTATACCTATGACATTTGTTAGGTAAAGTTCTTCTTATAATTCTGTCCTGCCCCCAAGAGGCAATCTCCATAACTCCCCATCCTCCCCTCTGCTCTACCCACACCCTCTTCCCTTTACCCCCCACCTTGCAATAGACCATCTGCTGCCTTCATATTAGAATTGAGTATATTGGATTCTTGTTTCTCCATTCTTGTGATGCTTTACTAAGAAGAAGGTGTTCCTGCTCCATCTAGGTTAATATGAAAGATGTGACGTCTCCATCTTTAATGACTTCCTGGTGTGCCCTCACTGAACTCACTGTCCCCTCCACGTCCTTCCTAACAACACGATCTCTCTCCATGGTGTTAGGATGAAGAACAAAATACCTTCTACAGCTTCCTTGACAACAGGAAATGAAAACATAGAAATCTGACAGGATTTAACTATAGTTTCTTTTTCCTCTCCTTTCTTTAAAAATGTTTGTTTATTCCTACTAGGAAGGCTGCTTGCTCATTTTTCCTGGAAATAAACTATCTGAAACAGTCTACTCAGACCTTGCCCAAGCATATTCCCTCTACAAACAATTCTAAGCTATAGGATGCTATAGGGCAGTTTGATTGAGACTTTGTCCAGGGAAAAGCAGCCAGATAAATTAAATTTATTTTTCATTTCACAGGAATATGTATCTAATTGTATGAATACACAGACTTATCCCATTGTAAATGGCCGCATGTATCAACAAGAGAAAAGAGTGGTCTTTCTGATTCAAAATTTACTTTTCTCAATATAGTTTGATGGTTCTTTATAGTATTTAAATATTATTTTCATTGGGATTTTATAGTGTACTTTTGTTTCTCATTGTATTTTTGAAGGAATGCTATTTTGTATTTTAGGAATACACAATAGATGTTTTCTTTCGACAAAGATGGAAAGATGAACGTTTAAAATTTAAAGGTCCTATGAACATTCTTCGACTTAACAATTTAATGGCTAGTAAAATCTGGACTCCAGATACCTTCTTTCACAATGGGAAAAAATCAGTCGCTCATAATATGACAATGCCAAATAAGCTGCTTCGAATCCAGGACGACGGCACTCTCCTGTATACCATGAGGTATGATTTTAGATTTGACATGTGGTCTTTCTACCCTGAAAACTCCATGTATTAAACAACCAGCCAATGCAGTTGTTAAAGATTAGCACAGTTGAACGTTTTCCTAACAGACTATTGAAGTACCCATAAGATGTTTTGCAAATACTTGGATATAAAAAATATATGAAGCAGTATTTATGAGTTTGAGAAATGCCTTAATTATTAAGAATTTATGTTTTTGGTTATTTGTCATACTGCATTTTAATTAAGTACAGTTTTAATACTAATACTTGAATTTGGTTTATACCAGCATGAAGTTTTATTTTCACAGTCTTATCAGATATCCCATCAAAAACGTCAAGCGCTTTTAAGTAGCTCTATATTTCATTTAATATTTTAATCCTCTTTATGAAGATACTCAAAAAAATAAAGGTCGAGATATAGGCTTTATTTAATAATGCAAGTAAATTGGATACTATAAACATGTTTTAGATTGAAGCATATAAAATTCCCATTTTGTAAATCCAAAGTATCATATATCAGTAATTTCATATGGCTCAGCTTTAATGAAATTATAACCAGGTGTTGATCCTAACATCTGTTGCATTTTAACTAAGTTCATGAATTACTCATGTTCACTAAGTTACTTGTACTATGTAAGAAAAAATCCCCACAAATCTAGTACAATGATGTAACATCTAAAGTTAAAACGTTTGATAAAAGATTTAAAGCATGAATAACTGTTGTCAACATCATACTCTGAATAGGCAGGTCAGTGCATTGCAGATATTTGATACGCAATTTCATAAGGGCTGGATTTCAGTTATTTAGGAAGGGACGATAATACCGTTTACCTACGATAATGCTACTGAAATAAGCAACAGAGCTAATGAGATCTGCAATAATCTATTTCTGATCTTTAAAGGAAAATATCTTAAGGGCTCGTTCCTAAATGCCCATTGCCTAAAATCAGAAGTGTTGGCTCTTCTTTCTGCGTCCCTCTCTGAATCTCGCAACATGTTCCTGTGCAATGACCCTGCTGATTTTACGCTTTGGTCATTCCTGTGAACGAAGGCAGTGATTGGAAACTTGACATTTGAGTAGAATATGGGCACAGAGCATAGAGAAGCCGTATGAATTGTTGGCCACATTTGCTTTGCTCATCATGACGGATTCTTTGATTTACCCGCTCTGCCTTTTTGGGAAATGAAATACTTGGAAGCTTTCTTTATAACAAACGGGCTATGATTGCTCTTCATTGTGATCATGCAGACACAGAGAAATATTTACGTACCGTTCATAATTTGTATTCATAATGTACCTAACAATCTGATATCAACCAGTTATTTCTAGGTTGTATCCATCATATATGTATTTATACCTATTTCAATATTTATATCTGTGTATATACACACAGAAAATGGTACTCCTTCACAACTTCCATCTTTTTTTTTTTGGTTGCAGCCATCATTGTTGTTTGGCGGGCCCGGGCTGAATTCGAACCCACCAGCTCAGGTATATGTGGCTGGTGCCTTAGCCGCTTAAGCCCCAGGTGCCAAGCACAACTTTCATATTTTTTGAAGGGAGCTCTTTGGAACTAATCATTTAATTCTTATGTCTTTTTAAAATATGGCTATTGATGTAGTGATGGGGCAAATGGCATCATTTCATGATTTTTCTTAAGAGTTCAAATTTCATAGTAAGGTTAATGATAAAAAAAAAAGCCCTTTAAAATGCATGTATATATGCATATATAACTTCTTTTTAACAAACAACAGATGGTAAGATGCCTTTAATTATTACTGTTATGTGTGCTCAGATTTTATATATGTCGGTGTCTTCAGAGGGACCACCTAAGTGTGAAAGAACGAACAAATATTTAAGCAGAATTAGCCTAATCAATGCTGTATGGAGGCTCTATCATCTCATTCATTCTGTTGACAGCAGTGACCAGTGATTTTTCTTGACTTGCCAATTTGCTTAAACAAAGAGTGGCCTTTTGACTTTTAGGCTGACAGTCCAAGCTGAATGCCCAATGCACTTGGAGGACTTTCCGATGGACGCTCACTCGTGTCCTCTGAAATTCGGCAGCTGTAAGTAGAAGAATGGAGATGCATGTTTTGTGTGGATGATATGAGGACAGCCAGCGGCCCTGTGCAGTTGTACAGTTCCTCACGTTGTGGAATTCTTACACTTGCTCCTGAAGAAATAGACATAAAAGACATGCTGATTGCCTTTCAGGAACGAATTGGCTCACCCTGTGACTCTCTCAAGTATCATTGTATTTTAATCATGGTGTTTAAATGATCACTTATTTTACTGCTAATAGAGAACATTATGTGTTTTAGTATACGTAAGAAATTAGACCAGGAGTTCCTTGAAGGTTGGCACTGTAATTTGCATTCTTTTCCAAGTGGTAGAACATTGAAACTGCAAAATGATTTTTTATCAACTAAGAATAAATGGTAAAGGATAGATTCTGTTGTTTATTAAAGTGGCGATCAGCCTGTCGCAAATGGCAAACACAAAACTGGAGTTTGTGTACTTATCTCTCTACTGTCTAACGAATTGAAGGAATTTTTGTTTCATTTTTTAAAATAAAATTGAAGGAGGTGAAGTAGCTGGATTGCTACATGCAGGCGCTTTCTGTACACATAGAACAATTCAGGACTCTGAGCCGCTGGCCATTCTTGAGGTCACTGCAGTTAAATCTTTATGTCAGGCAGAAGCATTCACACTTCCGGAGTCATTGAAAAGGGAGAAGGTCGAGTCATCCCCCGAGGCCCACGTGGCCTTCCTGACAGGTTCAGAATAAATTCATGAACCCAGCCAAGCAGCTTCCCTCCTGTGTCAGTGTGTCCCTTCACCTGACCTTTGCAGAGACTGTGCTCTTTCTGACACCCTCATCTTTGTCCCTTTTGGGTGGCTTTTGACTTTTTATTATCCCTGAAATAAAACTGGCTTCTCTTCATATTAGATCAAGCCAAAGAAAAAGAAAGATGCAAAACTCACTCTGATTTATCTTGATCACAGTTTTGGGGAATGAGAAGTTCAGTCTTATTCCTTCTTCCAAAAGGTGTCAGTTCTCAATTTTCTTTGAGAATCTGCTCTTTGTTTAACCACAGAGCCTTATTTTATTGTCATAGAAACCGTCACTTCCACGCTGGCGTTTCTTCCAGCATTATTTAGGATAGTCAGTCATGTCACACAAAGTAAACATGACTCTGTAAACCGCAGCAGATGTAGCCGAGGAGAGCTCATTTGCATGGCGTAAGTGGCATTAAGGAAAAACTTGAGAAGCCTTGATGCTAAGGAAAGGATTTGTTGAAGATGGAATCAGGGTGCACGAAGGAAAGGCATTTTATTTTTAGTGGACAATATATTGTCATGAAGACATCAAATATAAATGATGTGATGTCTCAATTCTAAAAAGGAAAGCAACTTAAAAATATTCTGAGTGAAATTTTAAGATCACTTACAGTGCATCCGCAGAATAATGGAATCTTATGCTTTTGAGAATGTCATTTTCTGTACCCAGAGGTAATATGAGCAACACAGCTTGTCATCGGGCATTCTCTGTCTCAGTAATTATTATCTATTTCGCTTTCTTCACATTTATTTTCCGACACAATAAACAATGTGTGTGTTCTTTCATTTTTTTCTTGACCAGGGTTTTGTTGGATGCGTAAATATTGAAAGTACGGACACCAGGATTTCAACATAGAAAGTTTGACAGAGGCATTCACGACGTTTTCTCCTACTAATTTATCCCTCTCTTACTTAAAAGCACCCCTATCCAAACAAAGACTGAATTTCTGGAACCTCCTCATTGTCTTCAAATTGAAGAAATGTCTTTTCTAAATGTGTACAACTTTAAACTTAGCCATGTTTTGTTTTAATCTTATTTTGGCTCACACGTTTATATTTTTTCTTATTAACTTGTTTTAAAATTTCTGGAATGGAAGTCTAAGGATATTCTGTTCATTAGCCTCCCAAAATTAATAGTTAAAAATGATGTTGGAGTATTTTTCTTTGTTAACAAATATCAAGAATCAGTAGGTAAGCATCTATTTAATGCAACTTAGGATTCGAAGTGGTCATTTAACAGACATAAGGATAATTATATAATTGCAGCCTAATATAGAGGTAGAGTTGCTAATGAATTTTGTAAAGCTGCCTTTCTTGCCTTTGATATTTTATTTAGGAATATTATTACAGGCCTCTTGGTTTGTGTGAGTGTTAGTGCATCAGAAAGAGCCTCTGATCCGCTCTTTTTCTGCTACGTGTTATTTCATTAGACACAAAATCTAAAAATCATCTTTCTTATAAGTAATGAACTGCAGCCATTGCCTTTTTTTAAAGACATGTGAAGATGAGTGATTTTCTTTAATTAATTATGAGCTCTTCTCCAGATTTCCACCCACAACAGTAAATACCATAGCTAACATACTACGATTCTTTATTAATCTAGGAAGAATCCAGAACTATTTTCCTGTGTTCAGGCTCTGCACCCGGTCCTTGAAGTATAGATGTGAATCAGATAAAGACCCTGCCTATCAGTTGCTCATTAATTTATTTAAAATGTCTTCACCAAGCATTTTATTTTCTCTTATTTATGTTTAGAACTAACATCATAATTCAAAGTGGTATAATTATACTTAAAAATTCATAATTTGTTAAGATTCACAGCTATAGAATATTGCGAGCCTTTGTGATGTAAGTGGCACATGTGATGTAAAGTGGCAGGTGTGATGTAAAGTGGCACGTGTGACGTAAAGTGGCACGTGTGATGTAGAGTGGCAGGTGTGATGTAAGTGGCAGGTGTGATATAAAGTGGCAGGTGTGATGTAAAGTGGCACGTGTGATGTAAAGTGGCAGGTGTGATGTAAGTGGCACGTGTGATGTAAAGTGGCAGGTGTGATGTAAATGGCAGGTGCGATGTAAGTGGCAGGTGTGATGTAAAGTGGCAGATGTGATGTAAAGTGGCAGGTGCAATGTAAAGTGGCAGGTGCGATGTAAGTGGCACGTGTGATGTAAAGTGGCAGGTGTGATGTAAGTGGCACGTGTGATGTAAAGTGGCAGGTGTGATGTAAGTGGCACGTGTGATGTAAAGTGGCAGGTGTGATGTAAGTGGCAGGTGTGATGTAAAGTGGCATGTGTGATATAAGTGGCAGGTGCGATGTAAGTGGCAGGTGCAATGTAAAGTGGCAGGCGTGATGTAAATTGGCAGGCGTGATGTAAATTGGCA